TATGAAGTGGTGATAATTATCAGAACACTTTATTCAAAAGTACTTTGAAATAAAGAATATATCACACTTGGTTGCATCATTTGAGGGCTAGCAAGATTTTAGCGACCCATTTTATTCAAAATGCTCGTTCAATTCTTGGCTCCAAAAACGCTCGTAATCCCTCATCCATAATCGTTCTGCAGATAAGGAAGGCAGACTTGGAATCAGCGTTTTATGCCCTCTAATAAGGTACACATCTTCGATGCGCTCATCACGGCAGCGCATACTCACCTGTAAGGGCCTGTTGCGGATATCTATTTGCATCAATAACTCTTCAAAGCAACTTGATAGGGATTACAGTTGTGACAGTGGAATGTGAAAAATTTCGGCGAATTCGCCAAATTCGCCGATGTCGCCGAATTCGCCAATGTCGCCGAATTCGCCGATGTCGCCGATGTCGCCGACTTTGCGTCTTTTCGTCATAACTCCCTTCGCTCTCAATAGATTTCAAATTTGAAGGCAGATTTGGATTCAGCTCGCCGAGACGAATCTTTTCATGTATTGAACTGCTGTAATCGGCTCGGTCACGGTAAGTGCATGGTAGGAATCCGTTGCATCCTGTGGTGGTGTATTCTAGAGTGTGTATTTCGGCGCATAATGTAGGCAAAGGTTTAAGAAAAAGAGCGTTTGATGGAAGAGTTTCTGCTGAGTGTTTCCAGCAGAAAACCATATCCTTTTTTGTAGTGGAAAAAAGAGAAAGGAGTACGTGAACTTAGTAAATATACATGAAACGCTTACCGTCAAACAAACATAACTATACAGTAACACTATGATTAGCAAAACAATTATGATCTTTGTAATCAGCATGTCTTGTTGCTTATGTGAGCAAAGTGACACACCGCATGACTATGATATTCTGCTTCCAGCAAAACTTCACTTTTTTCTGCAGACGCCTGTTTGCAACGCTGTGGGCCAGCCCCTTTCACACTTAAAAGATTCCGGTAAGGCGAATCGGAAAGAGTTGTTTCCGTAGATAATTCAGCGGTAAAAAGTAAACGGAGACATGCTTTATAAAGCGCGAAAAGAGATGGCGAATTCTGCAAAAATCACGCGTTTTTGAATTCTACTCGCCATAACTTCCTTCGGAATAAGTATATTTTGAATCCGAAAACAGCGCTTTGCTCAGCTCATCAAGACGAATCTTTTTATATACAGCATGTCCTGGATATTCCGATTTCAGTATTCTTGAATCTTTCTGAGGGCGTCTTTTCGCGAAGGTGTAAAGCAGCGAGCATTGTCCCGAGTACATTCCAGCAAGGATCTTTCGATAGCACTTTTTCTGTAGATTATAATATGCTAAATAGTAGCCGCAGGTTTCTTTTTAAAGCAAGTAGAACGGCGAGTGAATTGTGGAAAAATCTTGTCGTCCCAAATTCTACTCGCCATATCCGCAGGATACGAAGCTATCTTGCTAAGTAGATGTGAGTTTCGAAATCAGCAGCTCGGATAACCCTTATGAGCAAGTTTTCCGAGATGTCCGGATTATTTCATTTTTTCTCGTTTTATGCTCTGGAAGCTCGCCGACGGATTTGGTCAAAGTGTTGATGCTCTTGAATTGTACGGAAACTTCGCTTATAGAGGCTTTCGAACACGCTCTTTACGAAAATCGTGGTCTTTGAGGATTACAGATCTTTTTGGAAAGATACGGTAAGGTGACTGTAACTGCACCACGAAAGTGCGTGATTTTGCTCGCACTTCTCGCGTATCTCTCAGAAACCTTGCTTGCTTGCTTTTCTAAGTCAAAGTGGCTAGGAGCTGAGCTATCGAATGGTGCATGAGTCGGGCTCCAGTCTACAAAATTCGCCGAGTTGCAGGCCTACGAAAACACATCCTCATGAAATTTGCACAAAATGTAAAGATCGCGTCCTTTGTTGAAATTCCACCGTGAGTGGTTGTATAAAACGCGGGCGGGGTGAACACAACGTTTGCAATTAGTCATGCAACCACTCAGGATCTAATTTCAACGAAGTACGCGATCTTTACATTTTGTGCAAATTTCATGAGGATGTGTATTCGTAGGCTTGCAACTCGGCGAATTTTATAGACTGGAGCCCGACTCATGCACCATTCGATAGCTCAGCTCCTAGCCACTTTGACTTAGAAAAGCAAGCAAGCAAGGTTTCTGAGAGATACGCGAGAAGTGCGGGCAAATTTACGCACTTTCGTGGTGCAGTTACAGTTACCTCACCGTATCTCTCCAAAAAGACACTGTAATCCTCAGAGACCACGATTTTCGTAAAGAGCGTGCTCGAAAACCTCTATAAGCGAAGTTTCCTTACAATTCAAGAGCATCAACATTTTGACCAAAATCCGTCGGCGAGCTTCCAGAGCGTAAAACGAGAAAAAATGAAATAGCCCGAAAATCTCGGAAAACTTGCTCATAGAAGTTATTCGACCTGCTGATTACGATAATCACATCTGCTTAGCAAGAGAGCATCACATTCTATGGCTATGGCGAGTAGAATTTGGGACGACAAGATTTTTCCACAATTCACCAGCCCATTTATTTCCTTTGAAAAGAAAATTGCGGCTACTGTTGAGTGCATCATAATCTACAGAAAAAATGCTATCAAAAGGTCCCTGCTGGAATCTACTCGGGACAATGCTCACTGCTTTACACCTTCGAGAAGAAACGTCCGCAGAAAGATTCAAGAATACTGAAATCGAGAAATCAAGGACATGCTGCATACCAAAAGATTCGCCTTGATGAGCTGAGCACAGCACCGCTTTTGGATTCAGAATATACTTATTCCGAAGGAAGTTATGGCGAGTAGAATTTAAAGGCGCGTAATTTTTGCAGAATTCGCCATCTCTTTTCGCGCTTTATAAAGCATGTCTCCGTTTACTTTTCACCGCTGAATTATCTACGAAAACAACTCTTTCCGATTCGCCTTACCGGAATCTTTTAAGTGTGAAAGGGGCTGGCCCACAGCGTTGCAAACAGGCGTCTGCAGAAAAAAGTGAAGTTTTGCTGGAAGCAGAATATCATAGTCATGCGGTGTGTCACTTTGCTCACATAAGCAACAAGACATGCTGATTACAAAGATCATAATTGTTTTGCTAATCATAGTGTTACTGTATAGCAGTGGCGTACCCAGGATTTCGGCTCGGGGGGGCGCGACAAAAATTTTTTTCTAAAGAAGGTGCGTGGCGTTAGCCACGCACTCCAAAAAAAATTTTGGGGGTGCTTCCCAAAATTTTTTCGAGTCCCCGACCCCTAAAATCTGGAAAAAGGGGACGTGGCGTCAGCCACGCCCCCGAAAAAATTTTTTTTACAAGGCTAATTTAAATTTTTAAAAATTTAAAAATTATTTTAATTATTTACAAAAATAAACAAGTCACTTACACATTTTTATAACCCATATAAGTAATTTTCAAAAATTTCGCGACCCATTCTCGGGGGGGGGGGGCGCCACTGCTCTATAGTTATGTTTGTTTGACGGTAAGCAGTTCATGTATATTTACTAAGTTCACGTACTCCTTTCTCTTTTTTCCACCACAAAAAAGGATATGGTTTTCTGCTGGAAACACTCAGCAGAACCTCTTCCATCAAACGCTCTTTTTCTCAAACCTTTGCCTACATTATGCGCCGAAATACACACTCTAGAATACACCACCACAGGATGTAACGGATTCCTACCATGCACTTACCGTGACCGAGCCGATTACAGCAGCTCAATACATGAAAAGATTCGCCTCGGCGAGCTGAATCCAAATCTGCCTTCAAATTTGAAATCTATTGAGAACGAAGGGAGTTATGACGAAAAGACGCAAAGTCGACGACATCGGCGACATCGGCGAATTCGGCGACATTGGCGAATTCGGCGACATCGGCGAATTTGGCGAATTCGCCGAAAATTTTCACATTCCACTGTCACAACTGTACTCTGAGAACCATTCGGAGAACCGCTAGAAAAGCAAGGGAGTCACACAATTTTTTTGCAAATTGCGGCTTATTTGATGATAAACTTTCGTATAACGCGTTTGCGGTAGATTTTAATGTGGCCATCGAAAGATTTTTTGCTTCTCGGGACAAAATATGCGGTGTTATGCAGAAGTATCAAAGAACTTCAGATCTGGTAACTTATTTCGGATGGGCATTTGGTACGCTGAGGAGCGTCACATACAAATAAACTTGGTGGCCACATATTGAAGCCAAAGTTGCATTTAAGGAAACAGACAAAATTATGGTTTGAAGAAAAGAGAGAGCAAGCGGGTTTGGCGGAGGATAGTAAAAATCTGTAGCAGTTTGAATGAGAATGCCTGTGAGAAAGAGCTTCCGCGCAAATTGGCTTAAGCACGTTTGAGTCTGATCTGGGAAGACTGAAAAGAAACTAGTATGTTATCAACATACAGCGCAATCTCAGCAGCCTCACTCACTTTATGGTGCTTACGAAGGCCGAAATTACGCTCTTCTTACTGTTGGACCTCTCATCTTTGTGCTCCAATCGTACTTCCAATTAGTTTCCTTCATAATCGATTCGAACATTGGTTGCGGAAGTCATTCAAGACTTCAAGAACTTGACTCGCTGAACAACTTACACATTTGAGAAGAGACGTTTGACTCTGCACCCACAAAAACTTTCCAAACCAAATTTCGCGAAATGAGCAATTTGGTCTGATACTATAACCTATATTTTGGTCTGTTGACCTATAGCAAGTCCGTAAGATCCCGGGATTTCCGAGTTCTCATTGGTGGGGCACTCCAATGAAATTCTTGCGGCTTTGAGTCTCGATTGTCTCGATTTATATATATAGAAAATCTTGTAGAGCATGCTGCACTACCAAAAAAAAGTTTTTACACTCTGAGTGTTCAAGCTGCCGCTAAAGCATGAATTTTGCCATTATTTTCTTGACAATCTAATATTAGCCAAAGCAGCTACGGTATGGTGCAGACATTTGTGGCTCACTTGCATAATGATGGCCAAACCTAATGCTGAGTGAAAGTGCAGTAAATGTGAATTATTATTTCAACTGCTAGCATAAAATGGACAATTTACAAGTTGCAGATAAAAAGAGTGAACCATCAGTCTTCCTGATCATGCTCATACTGTATCTCATTAGGAACGCTCATCTCGACAAAGTTAATGCATAAGACAAAATCTGAAAGTGATAATACAGCAGTTTTCACGTAAAGTTAATATATCACAATTGCTAGTGTTAGGATGATTATTGCATTTATAAACGAAAGCGAATTTGACTCGTAGTGTAGAGTAAAGGAATGTGCGAGGGAACTGGCATAGCAAGCGGGTGGTCAATACCATGGTCAAGAAAAGAGTAAAGCTTTTGAGCAACACGTTAGTAGACACAGGTTAGTCAGTTAGCGGTTCGGTTCTCAGAACGTCGTCTTAAGAAAGAACTTTGAATTATATAAAGATGACTAAGAAAGGAAGAGGCAATAAATAATGAGACACAATAGGATGTTGAACATCATTTTCCTTTAAACAAAGACGCTAGGGTACTGAGGACGAGTGGGAAAAAATTCCCGAATGAAGACGAACGTTTAGTAGTTGACTCCTCGGTAGTGGTAGGCGGTGGGGCACTTAGATATTCAGCTGGTACAACTTCGATGCGATTTGTCATCTCAAGCGCATGTTCTTCGCAGTCCGGATTTCGACTTATGAAACACATCTAAACGAGAGCTATAAATACAAAGAGATGCGGTTATAAAGAGGACTTGTCTAAATTTAGGAATACTTGCATTGCAAAGCAGGAAAAAGAATAGGCCTAGCGGAAGCCAACTAATTCTAAGTTAGTCCCTTAGCAAGCGGTTAGAAACAAAGGCGTGGATCATATTATCGGCGGGTTGCAAAATTGGTTAGTAACACTTTCAAAACAAAACGTATGGAAATGGCCATCCCAACAAAACCTGAACATTGCGGTTATATCTTCCATCCAACACAGTATCAAATTCAAAATTCATTTTTAAATTATCTTATTTTTCCATGCAGACTGAGGAACAAATAAATGCAGATATTGGAGAAACCAAACCGTAATCCACTCAGATCTCTAATGTAATCAAAAGGGCATGCCAAAAAAGGCAGGCAAACTCAACAGGGTAACGGTATTCAATTTGGCAATTTTTGAGTACAACATTATTCAAGTCCTATCGTTCTAGTCAAGACATTTAATTGATTTACAACTTTCTCGACGAGTCCAGGTTGTCCTTCAGGTAATGTTACATCGCATCCTGCTTTCCCGTATTGAGGAACCTGAAAACAACAACGTTATCTACATCAATTTGTCTTTATCATATTCACAACTTACCCTAACGGTAAAGTAGTGTCGATGATCCCATATGTAGCTGGCATACTGATCATATCGGAATTTGATCTTATCCGAACAGGTGAAGTCTTCGCCTTTGGGTTCACCTACACATTCGATGTAGTGAGATCCAGGTTCCATCGAGTCTGGATACCTAGGAAAATAATGTTTTCTACTAATCAAAATGTAGAAAAAGGCTTAAATAAACAAAGACTTTTACACTTCTTTCTTCATTCATGCATAAGCACGTATAACTTTCCTCATGCAACATTCAATAAATAAACTAAGAAAAATAAAGTATTTATTTTCTTTGTGGATCAAAAAATTGAAATATGAAATCCCATTACTTCATGTCCAGCTACATGACATCGACTCAAAGATTCAGGTATAGGAGAAGCATCTAGACATTCAACAACATTTTGAACTTGTCAGCCCTCTACATCAAAGCTTTTCTTTTAAACATTCCGCTATGGAAAATCGTCATCACCAAGTTACCACGTCTCCGCCTCTGTTTGTGTCGAAAGTATTGTTGATTCGTTGAGCGCACGGACTGGACATCGCTGCGGAGCACAGGCCGCAGTAGAACGCTAGCTCCAGTACAAATTCGTCATTGTACAGGTCGTGCTCTCGCGACAATTCGGCCGCGCCGCGCGTGGAGCGCAAGGTTTAAGCAGTCCGTGCGGTCACGAATCGACGATAGTTAGGAAGGGTAGTAATTTGCGAGGGTTAACAGAAAGCTTTTTGGGCTTCACTCGAGATATGTCAGACGCTATCTGTTACTCAATCGTCTCAAACGATCTCAACTTAATCAAATAGTATGAGGCGCCAGTAATGCTTTAATCAAACTCTTCGTTCAGCTCTCTTGCTTGGGCATCTTCATTTCGTAAGACTAAAAACTTTCGATATTAAACATTATTAAACATGTAAAAATATTAGTTTGTCAAAGTCGAGAAGCACGGTCGTCGCAAGATCGTGTAGGCGTATACTTCTGTAGGTTCTAGCAACAAGTCGTGCCCAAACAAAACGAGTAAACGACAATCTTGAACCACTCTCGTGCCAATCGCACAGCGATTACCCCTTGCGATTTCATTATCGCGAATCATCGCGACAAGACACTCTCTGCCTGAGGCCTTAGGTGCATATGGATAGATAAACAATAACTGCTAGTAGTCTACACCTAGGGAGATGCAATCACCACCACCTAAAAAAGAGAGACCAGTTTTGACGATTCCATTTTGGATGCATATAGGTTGGACAATTGTTGGAGTCACAGGACTAGTATCGCTAATTACTAGCAATAATAGCGATCGCCATTATGACTACAGGAGGTTGTTAATTTTTGGCGACGTGGGTTATTATACTCCCCGGAAGGATGTAGCAGCCGCTCAACTTGCTCTTATTGAGTCAAAAATTTGTTCTTCTGTTATCGAAGAACGAAGAGTTCTGTCATTTTGGTCCCCCTAAGCGGTAGAGTTGAAAGAACATTCAAGACAATTGATAACGTATTTGCGCGACTCATATGTGACTTGATATGTGGGCCCAGGGCTCGGCACGAGCTGGCACCAGCGAAACTGCAAAACGAGTCCCGTTTGATATTGAAAATTTCGTACGAAGTCCCTTTTGACCTGTTTTGAGAACCCGTCATCATTTTTATATTATGTAAAAAATGTAGTAGTGTTTTCATGCATTTCTGATTTCATGAAAGAACTTTTCACAGCTTTCTGAGCTTTTTAAGTGGTCGAATCACATCTTGAGAAGCAGAAAAAGCCGATTTTTCGACTGCGGAGCGGACCGAGTGGTTTTCAAATTGCTATAAAACGCTGAAAAGAGAACATTATGAAACTGTTTCTTTTCCGTTTGTAATCTTTTACAGTGTAGATACATTTTATTTAAAAAAGTATGAAAACTTATGTGAGCAAAGTGTCGGTGCCAGCTCAGCTGGCACTCAGCTGGCACGGTGCCAGCTAATTCGGAAAAAAGTTCGGCACAGCTTTCATTCACATAAGTTTGCATAACTTTTTGGCCCGTAGTTCCGGTCCACCAACGTGCATGCACACATCAAATTTGGTGTCATACTATTGCGTTTTGGCTGAAAACAACGCCTTTTGTTTGTTAGATGGACAGCATGCCGGCGGCTAGGTGCTTGCAAATTTTACAAAAGTTGAGAGAGATTTAGTGTACTCTTATAATTTAGCTTCTACGAAAGCCTGGGAAACAATGAAGAGGAAAGAAGGAAAGAGCTGTTGCAGATGAGAAAAGAGCGAGCTCAATGGCGGCCACACCTTTATCAGGCCTTGCAGAAAGCTCTGTACGTGGTGAAACGAAGTTATTTTGATTATCAGTAACTTTGTCTTCCAGAAGGGATGTCCGAGCATCGAAATACGAGGAGAGTGACAATACGTGGAGCCCTAGTAATGTGAGTTAATACATGACTACAAAACTTGGCTACTTCTGCGATTTCCAAATGTTCCAGAAACAGAAAAGGAAGATTGTGGCTGTGCCCGAGGAGGACATCGAAAGAACAAGTAATGTGAGTTCGTATATGTATTTACATTGGCTAATTCAGCGTTATCCAAATGTTTCAGAGGCAGAAAAGAAAAGCTTTGGTCGAGGCTGCCGAAGACAACATCGAGATAGTAGATGATGAAACATGTTATAGATGCCTTTGAGAACAATGGGAGTAGAACAGCGCAATAAGGATATCATCATTTTTTGTAGATTGTTTGTTTCTCTGTTCTGATTGTGGCTATTTTTCATGTATATTCTGGACACAGAAGATAAATGAGTTGTCATGAATATGTGATTGTTCTGTTGTCTTCATGTGCTAAAAGAAGCAGCTGAAATTTCCATTCTTGGAAGTGCTAGAAGAACGATATGATAAGAGCCAATACAGCCGAGCCGCGGCCCTTTCCCGGCCGAGCCGCGGCCCTTTCCCGGCCGAGCCGCGGCCCACTACGGGCGAGCCGCGGCTCATTAACGGCCGAGCCGCGGCTCATTAACGGCCGGCCCGCGGGAGCTGCGATTGCCCGGCCGGAACTGGGCCGCGGCTCGCCCGCTCCCAGTGTCTGAGTAGACTATTTATAAACAAGTTGATTTTTTGAAAATATAGAAATGGCTTTCCGAGTAATATCATTTACTCACGCGTGCAATCCTATGCTCGGCCTCGTCCACAAGCGAAGTAAGCAAGTGTTTGCAGCTCTAACAAAGGAAAGATATTTGGTAACCGTGGCCATTCGTAGTGAAACACTTGTCACTAGAGCGTTTTATAAGAGGGATCCGTTTGATCGAAGTAGCCTTTTCAAATGAGTCCTATACCGCTTTGAAGAGCATTGTATGCTGACTCCATATCTGTTTTCATTTTCTACCAAACGCTTCCGGACGCGGAGTTTTGAGTGTTGAAGCAAAAAATGAAAGAGAATAGAGGCAAAAACATGCTCGTATTGTTTTTGCCTCGACTAAATTGTTCTTAAATCAAGTAGGTCTTAGACATTACCTGTCGAGACTGCTTTGCTAATTAGCACTGAATCATTTGAGCAATTTTGGGCAAATTTGATCGAGTCGCGCATTCAATCTTTCAAAAACGTTCATAACTAGGCATCAAGAAGCGTTTGCCAGATAGTGAAGAAAGATTTGGAACCATCTTTCATTGCTCTTTAAAGTGGTACAACACATAAAAAGGCGAATTCGACTAAGCAACCTCCTTTGCTAGAACGCTGATTTTGAAAATTGACTTTGATATCTGCTAAGCGATAGCTTGATGTAATCTATGAAGTTGTAAGTTTGTTTCAATGTAAGTTTTTCCCAAAACATTTTGCACTGTTTCAGTTAAGCGAAACTATGACGCTCAAATCTCTTGTTTCGCTCCTCGGAACAACATCAACATCACATCTGCAAGCTTGAACAATCTATTTTGATTGCATTTATCCTTAAAAAACCCAAATATCAATGATTCTGGCCATGCTTTGATGTGCAAAAATGTGCGAGAAAAAGCTCATAACTTATTTTAGACAGTCACTTAGCAAATGGTGGAAGCAGTGGCCGTATTCATCATTGATACCTTGAGGTAAATTCTACCTCCAGGTAGTTTTATCACTCATTATCAGCAAAACTACATTGAGAATTTACCTTAAGGTACTTTTGTTAATACGGGTACTTGCTGATAATCCTACTATAATAACGCGCTAAGGCCGTCTTTTTTTTGTGTGTGTCTGTCTGTGTGTCTGTGTGAAAATCTGTCTGTCACGAAATTCATAGAGGAAGCTGCAACTAAGCTATCGGGCTGCAATTTTGCATAGCATACCGTGCCAGCGTGTAGGCCCACCATGCACAAGGACGAGCCGGTTCGATAAGCGGGTCCCTCAAAATTTGCGCGTCAAACGGGTCCACGCGCTTTTTGGCACGCAAAACTGGTTCGCTAATTCGACTTTTTGCAAAGATATGATTTGCCTGACAAGTAACTCTGCGGCCATGAATTCTAGCCCAAAAAGTGCTCAAAAAGTTTGATTTTCTGCGGAAACAGCGCCAAAAATTGATGAGCGCGTAGACAGTCGCTTTGGCAAGGTTTTATGTGAAAAAAAAAACTTAAAAGATTTTTGCACCGAAATGTAGCCCTAGGTGACTATTATCCTTATGACGATCATCAAACTAGAATAAATCCAGTAATCCTTTCAAATTCGCATTTGTTTCCTTGCAACAAAGTTTTTTTTTCCTAAAAGTTACCGATCTTACATGGAGATGCTTCATGAATGAACAGTTGTTTACGATTAAATTGTGATGCTCAGCATCGCGTGGTGAGTTTCAAAGCCATTCTTATGCGAACATGAGAAAGGCATACGGATAGGGAGCCAGTGCCTCCGCGAAGCGGAGGTGACGCACTGGTCTTATATATAAAGCTGAATGTCTGTTTGTCTGTCTGTCTGTATGTCTGTCTGTCTGTCTGTCTGTCTGCCTGTCTGTATGTCTGTACGTATGTTCCGAATAGAAAATTCCATTTCTGAACCGATCGGGACCAAACTTGGCACACATACACTTCGGGCCCCGGCGGGTGTTATAGCTACTTTTCGTCATCGACCGATATTGATTTTATCGATGTTTTGCAAAATTTGAGCTACAGGGCTGGGAGTTGGCACAGGGGGGTAATCGAGCATGCTGATCACCCCCGTGGGGGTGATCAGCATGCTCGATTACACCCCCCTGCCAAATTCCAGCCCCCTAGCTCAAATTTTGCAAAAAATCGATAAAATCGACATCGATCGATAACGAAAAGTGGACTGTGACACCCGCCGGGGCCCGAAGTGTGTGTGTGCCAAGTTTGGTCCGGATCGGTTAAGAAATGAATTTTCTATTCGGAACATACAGCGGAGCCGGGTAAGCCAGCTAGTGAGTGATAAAACTACCTGGAGGTAGAACTTACCTCAAGGTATCAATGATGAACGGTCACAGGTTCGTAAGCAGCTTTTCAAGAAGCATTTAATGATATTGCCTTTTTACGGACGGCTACGGTTACCAGATCTCCTTCCCTTGTAAGAAGTCTTACGGCGAATAAGTAGTCACCTCTAATTCGTTTTAGGCAATGAAAACCTCAGAATTCCTACTTTTTCATTGCACAAATCTGTATCTAATCGTCATGTCAATCTACATCAATAATTTGATTGTAAGTGAAACAATCCTTATTTGAATAGCAGATTACGTGAAAATAATTCCAGTTTATCTTGATAATCAAGAAGAAGGTTAAAGCGAGGTTGTCCAAAGAAACAGCTCTTCAAAAATTGAGGCCCTTGCAGGTAGTTTAGCGTAGCATTGCTTTATGTGAGCATTGACGTTGCAGAGGCTTGCGACTGAATCACCAGCGGTGAAACCAAGATCCCCTTATGCGGTACCTAAGGGTGATAGCGTGAGCGCGCTCAAAGCGAAAAATACCCCGTCGATGTCTGCGACACATAGCATGTCCGAAGAAGCTTCCCATGCAGCACCTGAGGCTAACATCACGTCCAAGCAAATGCTCCCTACATTATCTAAAGTCTACAGCGTGCCCAAAGGAAAATCTGTTTATGTGATTCCCATAGCCTACGGCACTCCTAAGGAGTTGCCCCGTGCACCATTTACGGCCTATAGCACGTCCAAAGGAAAATGTGTCCAAGTGATACCTATAGCCTACAGGACGTGCGAAGGAAAAAGCACAGAATCCTTGAACACCCTCACGAAACAAGAAAAGAAGGAGTTCGCTATGGATGAAACACAATCTATAAGAGATACACAGGAGTTTCCGCATTCAGAGCTCAAAGAAGCTACTGAGAAGTTAAAGGTCGCATTGCAACCTTTTTTTTCAAATCAATTTCCTAAGAAAAATCATTTTAGGGAAATATTGATGCTACTCAAGTTTTAGAAACAGCTAATTCTGAAGAGATTAGTGATAAAACGCAAAGAACAGTGGAGGCCAAGGATGAGGATCAGGACTTGTCATTTCTTGGAGCATCATCACAGACGGGCTCTAGGGAATCTGCAGAAGGAGTACAAGGTACAGAAAAGAAGGTGACGAGATCGCCGCGTTCCAAACTTTCATTACAAAAGTGAGCAGCACTACCCTTTTTGAACACTTTCGACGCAAACCATAAAAAACATACTCTTTGAAGAAAAAGTCCACCAAAAAAGCTACCCCGAGCTCCTAAGGGACAACATGAAGAAGAACTGAAAGAGATGGTAAGAAAAATTTGTATAGTATTGTGTTCGCAAGCAAAATGTTTCTTTAGGAGGAATTTATAGAAAAGGAACTACCCGCATCGTATCCGTAGCTTCATTAGAAAAATTATGAAAGAAAAACAAACGCTTCACTTCCATTTGAACTTACATAGTCATCAGATCCTTTCATAAATAAATTTGTTTGTAGTAAAGAGATCGAGAAAATTTCAATGGAAGACCAGACAATGTTTGCATACACGAACTAGCCGTAATTCTGTTCATTAAAAATATTTTTGCGAATTTTCGTTTATCGTCTAACACGCTAGAGGAAGGAATAAGGTTTACAGCTGTTTTGAACGATTATGCATAAAAGGCTCTTCGTTAAAGTTGTCCGATCGACTTACAATCTTTTCGGAATGATTTAGAGCGGCATTTGAAAGACGCGAACCCCTCAGAAAGCCCCTCTTGAGGCTATTCTACAAGAGGCGCGAACAAGTGGCCCTCAGCAGGCAATCCGATGGAAGTCGTCCACCAAATTCGGTAAAACTTACAAGGGAGGTCCGTTTAGCCGGAGTGGCCTTTTCAAATAAGTCTCGCACCATTTTGAAAAGCATTGAACGCTGATTCCAAAATCTGTTTTCATTATCTGCCGAGAGCCTCTGAACGCCGAGTTGTGAGAGTTTTTTGAGCAAAAAACTAAACCCAAAATCTAGGTGATATCAATTGTCACGGTTTTTTCAAAGCTCAAGTAGAGCAGTGTTGAGTATGAGTGTATGAGACAGAAGCTACCCATTGAATGAAGTATTCTGATAACTAACACTGAATCATTTAAGCAAATCTAAACGAGTTTTGTTCCAGCTGCGCATTTCCAACCCCACAAACGCTTGAAGGCAGCGTTCACCCAAAATTTTGCCTCCCATGTTTTTGCCAGTCCGGGGCATTTCCGTAGCCCTGACTACAGTTATGAAGTTCAAATAGTCCAACCCCCCCCCCCCCCCCGATAGCACTTTTGCTGTTTCAGACCCCTTATCTCCATTTAGAGACAAATTTAGAGGACCGGACCGACGCAGATGCTCCTCTCGTGGGGGCTACATTCAGGATCGGCATCAATCGGAGGGGAATAGATTTGACCTGGACACTGCCTTCAAAAGGCCGGGCATAACTACGCGATTTCAGTCGTGACGCGATTTGGCAACTCGCCAAAAGTCTTCGGATCCAACAATAGCAAGCTGCACATGCATAGTGTGTATAACTTAGTGGATTGATAAAATGCCCTATCTTCTGTACATTTGAATGTGCTGTACAATGAGTCATGGACAGTTGAAAATTGCCAAATCGCGTCGCGACTGAAATCGCGTGAAGTATGCCCGGCCCTTGACTCGGTGTTCAAAGCGTTTATCAGATAATGAAGAGAGAATTGAAGCTATCTTTTATTGCTCTTCAAAGTGGCATAGGAGTCACATAAAAAGACCATTTCGACTAAACGGACCTTCCTTGTTAGTCACAAGGAGGAGAGGATATTACTGGTGCATTACAAAACTGTCATCGTTACCATTGACTATCTACTATCACCATCGAAAACCCTTTTAACCCACTTTCTCTTAGATTTTACCACAACAAGGATTAAATGAATTGTCTTACCAAATTTCCGTGCCATGATGATACGGTTTACGCAATCTATTGCGATCGCATGGTTTGCTAGCATCCTCATCGCCGATCCAGCTCTTGTCCTTCGCGCATGATGGCAGATGAGGTACGATATCACGTCGGAATACGACACGATAGCTGAAAAGCGACATGATTTCAAGCAAAATCTAAAAGATGGGCTTTCCTACCTGTCTGGTATCATTTTGTCAAAGTTCTCAGCAAACGTCACATCACCTACTCGAGGTTCACCAAATGTGTAAATCGTGATCTCGTTACCCGGTCGATAACCTTAAAAGAGAGTGCATCATAGAAAATATGGTAAGCATCAATACAGCGTTCAAATTACAAATCTATCGCAGTCTAGATCAGATGAGCAAGATGATTGTTTTCGTCAAAACATAAGTTTGTTGCACAGCACATATATTTAGGTTTCCAAAAATGGTAATTAATTCCATGTTATCATGACATGTGCGTTCGAAAAATGGATAAACTTGGGGAGAGGAACGAATACGTCAATTAGGCACCGCCATTCGCTGACTACTGGTCCTCACAAAATGTAATACAATACTAGAGCGGAAGGACCAGCAGTCCGCGAAGGCGGTGCCTGATCGAGATACGTCCCACTAACCGATAAACATTGCTACAGGAAAGAGTAAAGCAAACCTTCAAGGCCCATCAAGCTTTACCCAAATCATAACCCAGTAAAGTTTGAAGCTACTAAGCTTAGATCCACGTTTTTTATTACGAAAGCAAATCTTCACCTCAAAAATTCAAAAACTCCAAATTCCAAAATTCATTTGATTATCATTAATGTTTCTGCGTACACTTGCGTATGTTCTTACGGCCGTCTATTGATGTGTAAAAAGTACAAAAAATACCGCTTTTTGAACTATTCTAGGTTTTCTTCTGCAAGCTACATAATATCTCTCAGGAAATAAAGCACAGGAGTGAAAATTTCGGGGCGGTGCTTGCCAAATTTCGAACATTCAATTTTTGAGAGTGAGAAAAACTGCGAAAAACGCGTTCTTTGATGTGCCTAATATTTGTTGGCCAAGAAAGTGAACAAAATCCAATTTTTTGTGTGTTCAATGTTCACAGATTCCAGTCTCATAGGCCGGATTCACGCTGTAGGTGAATGTTCCAAGGTCATTATGTTTGCGTAACCTCAGTGCGTTTCATACACTCGCATTTACAAAGTTGAGTATCGTTAAAAACGACCAATAGGATGTTTGAGGGTATATTCTTGTAATGCTCACGAACGCTCACCTTCCTTCGCTGTTCGTGCAGCTGCTAAAGCCGCTAGAGCTCCTCCAAGGGAATGGCCAGTAAAGATGAGTTTGTAGCCCTAGAAAATATCAAAAAATTCAACGCAACAAGGAGTTATTAGGAATAAAAAGTAAGTGGCCATAGACTATACAATGTCGCCCCTAATTCAGTTTAAAAAAGAAGACGGAGCGGCGTATTGATCTTGGCAAGACTGTCGGTGCTCCGTAACATGGTTCAAAAGTTTTCACGAAATCGGACTACGACTTTTGGAAAACCGGTAATAGCAAAGAAAAAATCCGGAAAAACCAAAAAATGCGAAAAAACGTCGCACCCATAACTTCTGCCTAAATGGATTGTCTCATTTTTCAATCATTGATTCATTAGTCATTTCCGTTGTCGATCTGAAAACATAACCAAGAGTGTAAAAAAATTCAATTTTTGTCGAAATTCATACATGTGACGGTTTCATCGCAATTATTTCGTCGCGGCGATACAACGAAAAATTCATTGGAAGTGAAGGATGTCTAGCGATCTTCTAACAAAATCACCGTTCGATTTCATGAAGATCATTCTGAACCTAGTTATATGGTCCCGATGGTTTTGTCAAAATTAATACGCGGCAGTCCGCCTTTTTCACCTGAGTAAAGGCCTTTGATTTGTATATGAAAGCATGGGGAATAAGAAATCCCTTACCGCATACTTTGGATCTTTGAGTGTATTTTCTATAGTTGGCCACAGCACTCGATGACCGTTCAGAAAGTATCTGTTCACCTGAAATATGATAAATATTTGTTGAAAAATAAAGAAACAAAGTGTAATACGTAGAGAAAGCTTCCAAGAAAAGTATTTTTGTTTCTATTTGTTATGTTAATGTCTGATCAGTTGTTTTCTCGTATGATCTGCCCTCCTGAGGCGCCTGCGACCTCAATGCGCGGGAAATGAGCGCTATAAAAGGCGCTCGCTGTTAGCCATTATCAGTTCGTCTGTTCACTCATCTGCCTCTCTTATTTTTGACTGTTCTATTATTTTCTAATAAATATTCTCTGTTCCCCGTGTACTGCCTCAGGACGAAGAGTCGACGTGTCCGTCGTGGAGGACACAACAGTGGCGATCAGGAGCGGCGGCTACTAGTCGAAGAAGTAGCCGAACCAACGAAGTCCGAGGAAATCACGAAGAGGAGACTGCAGAGAGCGGTCAAAACGAACTGATAGATCAGCATGGCGAAGATTGGCTCAGAGGAGTTGCTGATCTTGCTCCAGGAGATGAGAGAAGAACGAAGAGAGATGATGGAGCTTCTGAAGCACATCACAGGTACTGGACGAAGCGGTACCTCAGCCGAAATTCCGAATATGATGTCCGCCCTCAGCAATAGGATCGAAAAATTCTACTTCGATCCCGAAGCGGACATGTGCTTCAGTAAATGGTATGGCCGCTACAAGGACGTCTTTGTCGAAGATGCGAAGCAGCTCACAGAAAGTGCGAGAGTGAGGCTGCTATGCGAAAAGCTGGACAAGGACAGTTTCGAAAAATACCAGAGGCATGTGCTTCCGAAGGAGGTAACCGCGATTAAGTTCGAAGAAACCGTCGAAACCTTGAAGCAGTTGTTCGACGTGAAGACTTCGGAATTCACTATGCGGTACTAGTGTTTGAAGCTGGAAAAGGTGGATTCCGAGGACTACCTCATGTATACGGGCCGAGTGAACGAACTATGCGAGAAAGCGAAGATTCACGACTTAGATAGCGATGGAATCAAATGTCTTCTTTGGATTTTTGGCCTGAAAAGTCAAAAAGAAGCCGAAATAAGGCAGCGACTCATAGCCGTACTGGACAAGGAGTACAAGGCTGGACGAAAAATGTCGCTACAGGAACTGTACCTGGAGTGCGAAAATTTCCTTAGTCTCAAGAAGGATAGCGAGACTGTAGCTGGTTGCACGAAGACTGTCGAAGCAACAAGCAAGGAAGAACCCAAGAAGCTGGAGTGCTGGAACTGTGGTAAAGCCCACTTTGCTAGGGAATGTAAAGCGAAGCTGTGGTATTGCAAGAAATGCAAGAAGACAGGCCACAAGGAGAAGTATTGCGAACAAGTGGCGGAGAGAAAAGCACTTGTTCAGCAAGATTCGAAACGAAGAATCCACAGAAGCAGCGATACCAGCAAAAACAGAAGTTGGACGAAATCAAAACGCCAAGTGCATAGCGTTGCGAAGATTGCGAACGCAATAATGGAAGTGAATTCGACTCGCGTATATGTGGAAGCGAAGGTTAATAGTCATCCAGTTAGTTTCTTACTGGATACTGGATCAGATATTACCTTGCTAAACGAAGCAATCTGGAGAAGTATGGGTGCTCCACGGCTGGAGAAAACAAGCGTGATCGTCAAGAACGCTAGTGGAGGCTCCATGAAAGTCCATGGAAAGCTATGGTGTGAGTACGAAATCAAAGGATCCAGAAGCGAAGGCATACGTGACGCCCCACAAGTCACTGCTAGGATTAGAATGGATCCAGAAAAACGAAGATATGTCCTATCACCTAAGCAGAATGGTTGCCGAAGTGAAGGCAGAACAAACCAAGGATATCGCTTCGAAGCTAAAGGAAGCCTACCCAGAAGTCTGCGAAGAAGGTCTAGGACTCTGCACAAAGGAGAAAGCGCACCTGAGAGTTGACGAAAACGTTCGTCCAGTATTCAAGGCTTGTAGGCCTGTCCCCCATGCTGCGCTCGAAGCCGTCGAAAAGGAGTTGGATAGATTACTGGAACTAAAGGTGATAAGTCCAGTGACGCACAGTGAGTGGGCAGCTCCTATCGTATGCGTCAGGAAGGCCAATGGAAAGTTGAGAGTGTGTGCCGACTTCTCAACTGGACTCAACAAAGCGCTGGAGTCGTACGATTATCCATTGCCATTGCCGGAGGATATATTCGCATCACTCAATGGAGGCACGGTGTTTTCGCAGATAGATTTATCGGACGCCTACCTGCAAGTCGAGTTGTCAGAAGAAGCGAAGAAAATGGTCGTGATAAATACGCATAGAGGATTGTACCAATACAATAATAGACTGCCTTTTGGAATAAAGACAGCACCGGGATCTTCCAGCAAATCATGAACAAGATGGTCAGTGGTCTGCGAGGGGTAGCAACTTACTTGGACGACATCTTGGTTTGTGGAAGAACCGAAGAAGAACACATGGCGAATTTGTTAGCTGTATTTGCAAGGATCGCCGAATACGGATTCACAATCCGTTTGGAGAAATGTTCCTTTGGCAGGCCAGAAATACGATACCTCGGCTTCATAGTAGATCGAAATGGCAGAAGACCGAACCTAGAGAAGATCGAAGCAATCAAGAACATGGATGAGCCGAAGAACGTCAGTCAGTTAAGAGCTTTTCTTGGCATTATAACGTACTATGCGGCGTTCATGCCAAAGATCAAGGATCTGCGTGGACCATTAGACGCGATGTTGAAGAAGGATTCGAAGTGGGAATGGACTCGAACACAACAAGAAGCATTCGAGAAGCTCAAAAATGCATTGTCAAGTGAGCTGAATCTTGCTCACTGTGATCCAAGGCAGAAGATTGTCGTGGCAGCGGATGCTAGCGACTATGGGAGATCGGATGCGTGATATCGCATAGATATGCCGATGGATCAGAAAAGCCAATTGCACATGCATCGCGGTCTCTTACGAAAGCGGAGAAGAACTATTCGCAGATCGAAAAAGAAGCATTGGGAATTGTCTTTGCTGTCAAGAAATTCCACAAGTACATATTCGGACGAAAATTTCTACTTCTGACGGACCATCAACCATTGTTAGCCATCTTCGGTGATAAGAAAGGAGTTCCAGTCTACTCCGCCAACCGACTCATGAGATGGGCTACAATCCTGTTAGGATATGACTTCGACATAGAGTATGTCAAGACTACGAAGTTTGGACAAGCAGATGGCTTGTCACGGTTGATGAAGAAGAGTCAGAATAACGAAGAGGACGTCGTGATAGCTGCCGTTGAGAACGACGTTAACTACATGTTGAAGAATTGTATTAGGAAACTACCAGTGACAGTATCAGATGTGCAATCCTACACGAAGAAGGATCCAGCACTACAAAGAGTGATGACCTACGTGAAGAAAGGGGAGTGGCCAGACGTGAACGGAGAATTGGCACATTTTCGAAATCGAAGCGAGACATTGTCAATCGTGGAGCAATGTCTGATGTCAGCCGAAAGGGTCGTGATACCCAAGGAGCTTCGAAGAAGTGTTCTGAAGGAACTACATAGTGGTCATCCAGGGATTGTAAGGATGAAGAAGTTAGCTCGAAGTTACGTCTACTGGCCGAATATAGACAAGGATTGCGAAGACTTGGTACGAAGATGTACGAAATGTCAGAAGTTAGCCAAGAATCCGACGAAGGTACCATTAGAAGCATGGCCGTCAGCGACTCGAGTGTGGCAGCGAATACACATCGACTTCGCTGGACCTATGCAAGGTGTTTTCTACTTGGTCGTGGTAGATGCGTACAGCAAATGGCCTGAAATGATCGAGATGAGCAATATCTCAGCTGCGAAGACGGTGAAGGCTTTGAAGAATTTGTTTGCGAGATATGGATTACCGCAAACAATAGTGAGCGACAATGGTACCCAGTTCACATCGGACTTATTCAAGAAGATGTGCGACGAAGGTGGAATTACCCATATAAGGACTGCTCCATACCACCCTCAATCGAATGGACAGGCAGAGCGTTTCGTTGATACGCTGAAACGCGGAATCAAGAAACTAGAGGGGGAGGAGAGGCCAACAGAAGAGACTCTGAATGTGGTGTTACAAGCGTACAGGACAACACCAAACACGAACTTGAACGATAAGACGCCAGCAGAATTGTTCCTAGGCAGAAACTTGCGCACAAGTTTAAGTCTGCTACTACCGATGTCAGAAGATGCAGAAGATCCTCTCGCGCAAAGAAGACGTGAACGCATGAAAGATCAATTCGACAAGAAACATGGAGCATGTCGAAAGGAATTTGAAGTTGGTGACTTGGTTTACGCTAAACAATGGAAGCCACCCCACTTCCATTGGATGAAAGGAACCGTGATGAGGCGTATTGGACGTGTCAATTATGAAGTTATGGTTGGCGACGAGATGTGCAAGAAGCATGCAAATCAGCTACGGCATCGAAGCGATAGCGAACAGCTCGCCATGCGACAACAACTTCATCAACAGTCCGAAGCCTTGAAGAGACTCCTAAATGTTTTGACAGAAGACGACACTCTACGGAATAATAGCAGTGCAGCCGACGAGAATTCCGAGCAAGCGATCGCGAGCGATGTGCCAGCACCCGTGGATTCAACGACATCGACGTCGACATCAAGCCACGAGCCCTCCATGCCGCCGACAACGCTTCGGAGATCGAGCAGAACGAGAAGACCGGTACAACGGTTCCAACCTAGTCCATAGCATGTTACCGTACGTTTGTTTCATTAGATTTGTAGTTGTTTAAATGATAGTGATATCTATGTGTAATCGATTTCTTAGCTGTTCATATTTATAGTTCATGCTTTTATCGTAGGCTAGTTTTGTGTAACTACCCTACTGGGGGAGGTGTTATGTTAATGTCTGATCAGTTGTTTTCTCGTATGATCTGCCCTCGCTGAGGCGCCTGCGACCTCAATGCGCGGGAAATGAGCGCTATAAAAGGCGCTCGCTGTTAGCCATTATCAGTTCGTCTGTTCACTCATCTGCCTCTCTTATTTTTGACTGTTCTATTATTTTCTAATAAATATTCTCTGTTCCCCGTGTACTGCCTCAGGACGAAGAGTCGACGTGTCCGTCGTGGAGGACACAACACTATTGCTTCTGCTTTTTATCGAATTGCACAGAATCCAACAAATTTTCGGATAAACTCACATTCCCTAAACCAAAGAAATATTCTCCTGGCTTTGTGGACTGCAATCCTTCCAAAAGTAATTGTCCCTAAAACAATAGACCATCAATATGTATTATTAGCAAAAGCATCTGACTACCTTTGACTTGGTTCCTCTGAAAACAATGATCAGCTGCTTTGCTGTTTCGGATGCAGCTAAATAGATAGAAATGAGTGGAAAACGATGTTGATTTTCATTCCACAAAAGCAAAGACATACAATACCGCTTGTGTTTTTTGAAAAACGACGCACAATCGCCTGATTTATGTGACATCACCGTAGTGTGGCCATATCTCGCTTCAGGACGAATATACAATCAAGGGCACCATTCGACTCAGACTGTTGCGTTGCATTCGTATATATAAAAGTGTCCACCTGGACACAGCAGAAGCGCCCGGATCCACAAATAATGTCAATTTTTGCTTACGGTAAGTTACTCGATATGCTTACCGATTGCACTCGCTGGGCAACCTACCATAAATAGAAACCTGAGATGATTCGTAAAATCTGGCCTCCTACTGCGTCCAGGCAGGCACTTCTATATAAGAGAAGATGCGGCGCGACGATCTGAGTTGAATGTTGTCCTTGGATTAAGAATTCGTCCATCTGAAGCGACGTATGGCCACTCTACGATGATGTTACACGAATCGGGCGACTGCTGTGCGTCGTTTTTCAAAAAAAATGCGAACGGTATTTTAGTGCAATCAATGAACTTCAGAAACAAGCTACTTTCGAATAGACTTCAAGATAAAAACATATGCATTTATGTGGTGAAGGCAAGTTGTTTGATATCTCACTGCTAATGATCATCATCAGCTTCCCATTTTCAGATAAAAGGATATATTAGCTAGTTGCAAATGATTGCTATTCTTCCCGCATCACTAATATTTCTATTTTGAGGTAATTCTTTGGATCTCTCTTCTCACCTATGTAACTCTCGCATGTGTTGTCCAATTCATCGCAGTCCTCTTTCGTTGTCGACACGACAACATGAGTTTCATGCGTTGGAAAAGTCCTACAATTATTGGCATATTGATACTCCTAACTCAGAGAAATTCAAGTAAATGATTCTGACAAATAAATGGAAGCTCCAAACCCTGACTCCGAATTTTTTTCATCAGCACCTTTAGTTTAGTTTCACCTTTACTCTTAGTTTCACCTTTAGTCACACTTTTAGCACCTTTGGGTCTCAAGTTATGAGTGTTTTTTGGAGCAAAAAATGCACAAAGAATCTAAATAGTTCCATCTATGGTGTTTAGCCCTCGAATAACGCAGCATTAAGTATGTGTATTATATAGAAGGTAACCATTGCGAGCACCATATATTCAACATCAATCAATTCAGAATCTTTGGATATTTTGTCTCACATGAGCGTTCAATTTTTTAACAAAAAACGCTCATAACTCGGCGTTTCGAGAAGCTCAGCAGACATTAAAAAAGATTTGGAATCGAAGTTCAAAGCTCTTCAAAATGACAAGGAATTTACTTGAAGAGGCCAGTCCGACTAAAACAATGTCCTTGTTAGTATGATACAACTGTTACAAATTATCTCTTAGAGGGAAGGATGCTTGTTCGAGGGGCGTTTCCAAATTTTACCCATCTTACAAAGCATAAAACGCTGATTTTGAACTTGCCTTCGATGTCTGCAGAGCGCTTCTGGGAGGGGGGGGGGGGAAGTATGGAGATTTGTTTTGAAGCAAAAATCTAAACTTGCGGTACAATAAAAACATTAAGAATGTTTGCGAGCTCACAATCAGATGAAGCCATGATTATTGCCAGGAAGCTTTACGCAATTAGGTATCTTTGATCTAATAAACTCATGCTGATCGTTACTCCTTTCAAACGCCCGAAAACCTCAATACCTGTTATTAGCTTAGCCAAACAAACTCTCGAATCTATATTTCAAAAAATCCCACATCTCCCCTCCCAGAAGCGCTTTGCAGGTGCCGAAAACAGATTTGGAATCAGCGTTCCATGCTCTATAAAATAGTTTCCATTTCATACAAAAAGCCACTTCAATCAAGTATCCTTCTCATGCCAGAAATTCGGATTCGCAAAGACGGATTGATTTTCAGTGTGAAACCTAGAGATGACACAAAAGAGCACATGTTTTTGATATTATGCATCCGCGTGGTTCCGTTGAATAATTTACTTCGTAAAGTGCCGCAAAAATGCTCGTTCAAATGCGGCTCTTTTGACGAAAAACCAAAAACTGAAAAAGACAAATTTACTCGCTAAGCAGATATGCTTTCACGTAATCTAATAACATTGTTTGCCTGGATCCATTATAGCAAGAGAAGGAGAGAAAGAGAAAAATTATTTATCAGAAGATATTAAGACATAAATGCGCTCAATTATGTGCGGAAATTTTTAGTGTCATGCAGCAGAAGCTCGGAGCCCTCTTCTCACGAAAAACCTTAGTCCCCAATGGCTGCAAATTTTATTAAATTTTGTGAATACATATGGATATGAAAGGAGCCAGGTTCTTAGCCAAATCATTTTTTTAAATTCTAACTACTTGCAAGATCCCTGAAGAACAGGCATGTGCGTATATCGTTACTATGGATATAGCGATTGCAAATACACAGTTCAATTGATTTGTGTTGTCGATAACAATGACATACCTGTTGAGACATTCTTCATGGTTTTCTCCATATGCTCCTGCAGCCATATTCAACAGTTTTCTGGCTGTCATCTCATCATAATTAGTCTTTTTACCGAGGAATGGGAGTGCAGCTGTGATAGTTAAGCAGGATAATATGTACAGAAGCTGCATCACCTGGACAAGATGAAATTAACGACAATTTTCTGAAATGATGAATTTTTGTATACGTTACAGAAGCACCTGAATATGGATTCAGGAAACTTATTTGGAAGTTATGAGCGATACAGATGTCAGCGACACCCAGAAGAAAGGGCATTAAAAGAAATGAATGAAGCCATATAACCTAGACAAATGAATAACTTAGATTAGTATTACCGGTTTCTGTAAAGGACTTGAATATATGAATACGACACAGAAACATTCAGACACGGTACATGGTCGGTCCGAAAGTTCTGTTCGCAACATTTTAAAAAAAATCGTTACTTCTTCCTATCACGATGTTTTTGAGCTGCGCTTTAAAAAGTGATTTTTTAGGAAGCATGCCAAAAAGCACTCTCTTAGGAAAATTAATATTTTCTCATTTCCTCAAAAATCATAATTTTCTTGAGAAGGGCTCGATTAGCAAATTTGCTCAGCTAGAAGAAGTTGATCAAAAAGCCTAGGTTACTAACTCCTTTGGATTTTATGGCACAGTCTAGAAATGAATTGCCCCAAAATCCCTTGATTGATGATTTCTTATTCCCTTTGAGTTTTATCTGCATTCAAAGCTTACTAGAGAGTGTGCAAGGAGAAGTTCGAAAACGCACGGTTCGTACTTTCTAGTTTAACTGAAACCTTGCAAAAACATGCTGACAGGAAGAAATTACGATTTTTTGATGGTGCAACAAAGCTTTCGGACCAACCTAATAAAAATACTACTGTCAGAAAGAAAGTGCATTAGTATGAATGAATGAAACCACAAAACCCAGACAACTAGGTCTTTCTTGACAACATAAGTGCGCAAATAATATGTGCTCAAAGCAAATGACGCAATATAGGAAGGTGTCTATAATCAAAGCACAGTAAAAACAGAAAACAAAGTGAGAGACTAACAAGGTTACTTAATCATTCAAGACACTATTCCCTCCTGCAGATAATGTGAGAAAATTAGGATTAACTAGCGATTCCTCGATTAGAACAACAAGAGGATGATTATCACAGGTGCGGAATATATTAGGTGGGTCCGAAAGTTCGTGCCGTTTTTTAGACCTAATCTATAACAAAATCGTTCAAAATGAAGGTAGACGAATCTTTTAAGCCCAAAACAGAGTTCACGCGGTTTGATCGTCGCGATAATCGCCGCGAATTTCCATTCATTTTATTTTACATTCTAAATTTCGGGTTGGAAAAGTATCACAACCGAAATGCAAGCTGTCGGCATGCAATGAACTCGTAACAGTTGTCTTGTCGCGATCCAATCGCGACGATCAAATCGCGTGAAATCTGTCTTGGGCCTTAAAGGCAGCGTCCACCCAGATTCTCGACTTCACATTTTTGTCGTTTCAGGGCCTCCTCATGTCCCTATTCCGAATAAGAAGTCGGGAATGCTCGAAAACCCCGGCAATCCCCGCTCCGGAGAATCCACTGGCCGGCTTTCCGGAACGGTGATTGGATGGGCGCGCACAAATGGGCGGGCATGGATGGGGAGGGGCGGGTACGGAAGGGGGTGATGCTCGTGCATCTTCGCTATTCCGAAGCGATTTTCTCGTCTCCGAAGCGACATTTTGTGCCGCGACTTGGGCCTTGGATTGATAGGGAGCCCTACTATTATATGCTGCCAAAAGCTCAACACCCTCAACTTAGGGTGGACGGTGTCTTTGAGCAGCATCCGATGCCGAATTTCTTCCTCTTTTCAACAGCTATGTAAATGTTGTGACTATTTCGACGAGCGCTAAGATAATTGCCGAAAACTGAAACCCTCGGATGCTGTCAAAAGGATTTGTTTACTTTTATTCTGAACAATTTTAGAATAGGTCTAGATAACGGAACGAACTTTCGAACCCACCTAATATTTGTGTAACGCATATGACTCACGCAAATGCAAACTTCTTCAAACTTTTCGCCGATTTACTCTTATGAACTATGAATACTGAAATCTGCATGACTTCAAAAGTATTAGTATCAATAATAAATACTGGGATTGTGAAGAGTGATACCCGCAACAGTATATGTATCATCAAACATTGTTAAGAGTAGATTCCTAGAGATGAAAATCAGCAAATGTTCATCCAGTTATCATCATAAATATGACTTCCTATTTGTTTAGAAGAAATCAAAGGACAACTGAATTCAGTAATGAATAATATGCTCAAATTGGGCACGAACTCGTACAAGATTTGCTTGTTTTTCCGACCCGCCGGCCGATGCTCATACACAATATAAAAGTTTACCTTTGACGCCATATGTTTGCACAATTTGTTATTCGACAATTTTCGCAAGCAAAATTCATGAAATTATTTACTTATTATTCATCTCTAAATATTCTAGCAATTCAGTCGTAAAAGCTTTAGTACTGAATTGCCGATGAACCATAAAATTTGACAATGAACAGAACATTGGAAAAGGAGAACTGGTTTGGCATGACCTGGGATTTTGAAAAGAGATCAGAAAACTTGAGTCGCGATACACTGATTTCTAAAGAAAACTGTGATTGTCTCATGTCTCTAATCGTAAATACACACCAAATTCAAGAGGGCCGCTCCAGTAAAAATTGTGCATTGTTCGATATGTTCTTAGCCCCCCCCCCCAAAAAAACAAATTCAAGTTTTTCTGTACCAATGCAGTCTAGTATGAGTACAAAAACTTCTGTTCACTAGCTTTTTGTGAACCACTTCACATGTAGAAGCAAAAAATGCCAGCAATTGGCGCCGCGAACATGAATCGGTGTGTTCGTAGAAAATTTGGAAGAAAAAACTTTGTGAAGATATAGTAAATCTTTTATTAATGAAAGTGAGGTGAGAATCGAAAACTTCCTGGAATTTCAAAGGCCAAAAATTTCCTGGTACGCATAGTTCAAGTAGCTTTTGAAGATAAGAAATGCGTGAAAAAAATGCTGACAGAAGTTAAAAAGCTTTCGTATTGGCAAATTAGCAAACAATGTCTATTTGAATTTGTTCGAACTAATGTAATTATAATTTGAACAAGAAATTTATAGGCTCAATAAAATGAAAATAAAGTGGAAGCTACATGAGAACTGTTACCTTACATTACTTATTTCCTTTTGCCACAACCAGATCTGAAATTAGCTTTTCAACTTTGCAGGCAGACATCTACAAGAGCAATTTCATACACAGTTCATAAGCAAATATCCCAAGCAAGAACATTGCGACAAAACTCTGCAATCTGATCACAAAACTGAATTCTTTTTGTAGAAGACAGGTTTGCCATTCGAGAAAGTGACATTTAATGTACAATAGAATATAAAAAATGATGCGGTCGGCCAATAAAACTCAAACAAATCAAACAGGTTGATGGGAAAGGGCTCGAATGATGTGTATAAATATACGTAACTGTACCGTGAAAGATGACATGAGTTATGCAAATAGAAAAGGCCACCTTTATGCAAGGGTGAGTCATAGAATCTTCAAGTTCGTCTAAAAGAAAGGACATTGTTCATTCTTTTTTGCATACTCAGTAGGACACTGTCATGAGAATGTCCATGACTAAAGTGCACTTCAAAAGTTGCATCCTCTATTTGACAAATTGCTTTTTTTCAGTAATGTTAGAGAAGTGACTTCAAGATGCGAACTTTTCAGGCCTACTTTCATTTTAAAAAACTTTAGGCTAAAGATTGCCAGTGATTCCCTCTTCCAAGATCATTCTGATAGCATGTATTTGCAGACTAAGCGTAAAATTGTTCAAAATATACAGTATTTGCAATTACAACTCCGAAACTAGTTGCAAGAGAAGTCCCTTACCATTCGCACTTATCAAGACGCAAAATGACCTAAGGTATGCAAATTTGTGTAATGGAATTCTATTGCTGAAGATGGAAAAATTTAGCGAAAAAGTCCACTTGAGATTAATCAAAAAGTTAAGTGTGGAAAACAAGTCTGACAGTGTTTAATAGGAAAAAAAGGATAGACTAACTTTAAGTCCTCTGAGGAAGGCAAATTCCCACAGCGTAACGTCAAATAATCTGTTTATCCGTATTTATTTTGATCAAACTTGAGTGGTGCAGAAAGCATTCACCTCAAAAAATAAATCCTCGCTGTTCCTTTTCTGGGACAATCAAAATAAACCATCAAAGAGTAAAGAATTAAGCTATCATTTCGAATTCTCGTTGTGCTCCACGGGTCCTTGATGTAAGAGGCAATTGTTGCACATTGAATATTGAGTTATAGTGTGTAAAAAGCGCAAGACGAAAATTGAACGTGAACGCCTTATAGGGACACTATAATCAATGTAAAATTGATTCTTAACGAAAATTTCATGAACCACGCGTGTATATCAAAAAAGCAGAAGAAATGAAGACATCATTGGGATGTCAACAAAAGAGTAAAAATGTAGCGTTCAAATTTCTAGGCAAACACGGAGCTAACGAAAACAGAAAAATAACAATGATTAGTACCTGGAAAAAAATTCGCAACTCGCTATGGTTGTCACAAGGCTGTGCGAGAAAAATTAAATCATTGTAAATCAAAGTAGTCGTAGTTAGAAATGAATAAAAACGTGAAGTTTCACTTATGATTTTTCGATGCATTAAATAATCACGACTCGTGACGCCAGAAAAATGATTAGTCATGGCGATTCGTTGTATTTCAACACCTTATTTGCATAAAATGTCCGAACAGGGTAAACATATGTTCGCACCTACCACTATGCGACATTTCGCGATTATGCTAAAAATTGGGACAAATCTAGTAGGTGATCAGCATTCTTGGTTCTGATGCCATCGTGCCCATTCTGTATCAGGCAGAGGAGAAAAGTTGTGCAGCGGATTTCATAGGTGATAATCCATGTATTCTACTAATGTAGGTGCACAGACCATATAAGGTAGATTCGTTGCCTGACCCCCAATCTTCCGTGCTGGTGTCATCCAGATTCGCATACAAGCGTAAAGGGCGTAGTGTAACAAACTCCGCCAGTTTGGGCTGCCTCCGCAGACTATTGGTCCTGCGACATGCAACAACATTGCATAAGGACCAGTTGTCCGCGAAGGGGCCC